GCAAACAATCATGGGCAGAGATGATTGCATCATTCAATGCCAAATTTGGTTTTAACTATGATGTTGATGTCCTAAAAAATCGGTATAAAACATTGAGAAGGCAGTATAATGTGATAAAGAATCTTCTTGAATTGAATGGCTTTGTTTGGGACGATGCTCGTCAAATGGTGACTGCAGATGATTATGTTTGGCAAGATTATGTCAAGGTATGCATATTTTCTGAACCACACAAGACTTGTCCATGTATGATACTTTTGAGAGTTCATTCTACTGGCTTCCATGAAAGGAGAATGGGTTTTCTTTCTGAAACTTTTAAGCTTAGTGATCATAAGATTCGGAAGAACAGTAGGTGTATTCTGATTATAAGATAGGGAAAAACTTTAGATGTGTTTTTATACTAATGTCAAAAGGCCCTCCAATATTTCCTGGTAGCATTTGTGCAAAGATTTAAATTGAACAAGGTTTCAAGAAGTGTAGTATGATCACATGCAGGCACATACTGATGCTCGGCAGTTCATGACACGACCTGTGCCATACTATAAAGATTTGTGCGTGATATGCAATGATTTGAGTTTTGATGAAAGTGATCGGGTTTCTATTCAATGTTTGGACGTGGAAAATGAAGTTCAAGAAGTCAAGTTGCACGGAAGATTGAAAATTTTTGACTCTTCAGGGACATTAGTTTCTAGTGGAGATGAAACACTTGAGTCTAATTCAAAGAACAAACATCAACTAGAGAATAAATCAAACTCTGGGTATCCTAAGAAGTTGCGGATCAATGAAGGAGGCATGGCAAATGCTCTTCATGAGATGGCAACCGTCGTTTCTTCTTTAACGGAGAAGCATAGAGATGATGAGTTATCCAACTCCATTGCAATAGAGAATGTAATTGCAGCAATTCAAGAATTACCAGATATGGATGAGGAACTTATATTGGATGCATGTGAGCTCCTGGAGGATGAGTTGAAGGCAAAAACATTCCTCGCCCTAGATGTCAAACTTCGAAAGAAATGGTTGCTAAGGAAGCTTCGGCCTCAAGTATAGTTTCTTCTAACTTCTATTTTGTTCTTTGGTAGATTGAAGATAGATTAGATTCTTTTGAGTTGGAACTGGTTTGGTTCCATAAAGATTTTAGTTGATGCATTCCGTCCACTTTGAGCAAATTACCTTTTTTTTTTGTTTTTTCAGTCCATCCGTTTCAGGCAGCTTTTACAGAAAAGAGAAGCCTTTTGGATGTTTATGTGAATATTGTAATTCATTTTTCGATGGAAATGGATTTTGAGAATTAACGAGGCAAACAAACTACACCGTAATGACCAGGAAGCAAGCTTATATATACCACCATAATTATTATTATATAATATTATTTTTATTGTGAATTTCGATACATATTTTTATAAATAATGATATATGAATTTTATAAAATAAAAACAAATATTTTTCTGTACTGTGCTGTTTATATTCTTTGAAGAATTTTTCTGATCAATATTTGATTATCATAGAAACTGATATGACATGCAAGTCTATCTTTTTTACATTTGTTTTGTCAACTGGAAATGGATGTTTATTCTTCCTTCCCCAATTGATGAAGCATCGGTTCTATACTGCATCTTGGGTGTAAAAAACTCGTATGCTTTAAGTTCTTTAAACATAGGTGATGATATGTTTAGTTATATAAAGATATTTATTACTTCATATATTCTCCTTTATGCTTATAGCTTAAAGAAATAGTTAAAACTTTTTTTTCGGTAGTAATATAGTGGTTAAGAACATTGTATTATTCTTGAAAATTACGAATTAAATTCCATTGAAAATATAAAATTCATCATTTAATAAAATATAAAATTTAACTTATTATATTAGGTTAAATCCTTATAATTCTATTATATTTATATATAAAAAAATTATATTATAATTAAATAATTATAATAAATTAAAAATTTAATCTAATTTTTAAAAAATGATAAAACAATCAAATGATCTTATATTTTGTTTATAAAATTAACAAATTTAAGTTTGAATTATATTACACTCTTTATATATATACATGTACATGTATAAGTAAAAATAAACTATCTTTTCATCTATATACATATATAAGTAAAAATAAAATAATACTTACAATGCGTTTTAATTGAAACAATAAAAAAATATATATATATATTTTTCGCATATATATTAATCAAAGAAAAGAAATTTATTGTTGGAACTTACTTTTAATTTTTTTTTTAAAAGAAATATATATATATATATATATATATATATATATATATGGAGCAGTAGTTTAAACTAAAACTTATTTTACTAAAGAAATACATATGCATTAGCATCATGCACTATTGAAAAACATGAAAAATTCCAGTTTACTCTGGCATTATGAAATTACACTGATAACAACGTGCATTACGTTCAAATTTCTCCATCTACCCTACCTTTCTTTATCAAGGTGTAATAACTTCAACATAAACAAACTTCCATCCCGGACCTCTTAAAAATTTTCTAGAGAGCCAAATAACTACATGTATATTGTATTACTCATCAAAGATGGTGGACAACAACAGTCCCTGTACAAACTCACACCTTTTTTTCTTCTCTGTATGATCCTCCTCCGACATGGAAGGTAGCTGAACGTTTCTGCAACCAGGGAAGCATCACCAAATTCAGATACAATCAATAAGTGGTAGAGAAAAAGGGAGCATAGATTAGAATTAATCACAACGTAGAAAAATGAGATTCCAAGATCAGCAAGAGCAAAAAGCAAAGCATAAAACGTATTCCTAGAAGTTGTCCAGCATCTGCCTCCAGCTTAAGCACCAAAAGATCATGTTTCCCATCTCTCTCCGGACTCTGTTAGCTTCTCCTTCGGACATGCCATATTTTCCCCTTGTGTTAATTGTCTATTTTTGTTGCATTAAGAAAAATATATTTTTTCATATAACTACAGTATCTATATTAAAGAATATTATTCAAATTCCAAGTTGATCTAATGCCTAATTCAAAAGTCTGGTGTTTCTACAGTACGATTAAATTTTCTTTATCAAAGGTGATGGCTTTTCTTTTAGAATCTATCATGCATTGAGAGACAAAACATTGACGTAATGTTTGACAACTTCCAGCTTATTGAGTTAAAAGAACAGTGAACCATAAAAAACTTACACTTCTAAAGTTTTTGTATCTGAGCTCTTCTCTTCTAGGCTAACTTCACTTGAAGAATCTGGCTGTACAGTTTCAGATTTATTAGCAGTAGGCACATTGTAGATGAATGACAGCAATGGATCAGGTGCCATTTTGGTGGAAGTAACTGGAGGTGATGATCCTCCAAGGAGAGATCGAAAATGCCCATCCTCCAATTCCTTTCTTAAATAAGATAATGCTAAATGAGATTCATTCTTGCGATGTTTCAATCTGTGATGACTGTAAATTTCAGTCAAGGAGTCTAGTGTGTAATATAGTCACGGTTAAGCATATAAAGTACAAGGAACTACTACTGAGAAATTCTACGGATGATGCAGAAGCTGGTGGTGAAGCTTGCAGTAAAATGAACGAAAATCATGAAGGAAGAATAAGAAACAAAAGGTGTAAAGATTTCTAATTCAACCAAGAGAAGGTAAAGAAAAGGATATTTTCACAACGTTCCCATGTTGTAATGCAATGTGTCCAACCATATTACTCTCCACTATTGTAGTGCATACAGGACATACCTGCAAACATTTTGAAGTTGATTGTTAAGTATGGTATACTTCTTGAAGCACCATAATGTAAGGGACCAATGGTAAATTGGGAAACTAGAAAAATAATATGCAAGAGTAAAAGAGGTAAGTTTGTACAATGGTGGTTTTGTCTTTTCCATCATAATAAATTATGAGAGGAAGATCCCGGATCATCATATCCGACAGTTACAAATTCCTACTTTATAGTCTATATTTACGCATGTATTCAGAGAAGGATATTAAAAATTATTGAAATCTGAATACAATTTTCTCTCACATCTTGCCAATTCTCACCTTTCTTTCTTTCTATCTCTTTCTCTTTCTCTCTTTCTTCCTCTACCTTTCAGATTCGAACCATGTATCAAGTTCATGACACATAATCCATCGGAACCCAATTTAAGAAATATCCTTCTATAAAGAACAAGTACATATTCTTTTAAAGAGGTTTGGTACAAGGCCTTGTTAAAAGAGATGTATACAAAGTTATGATGCACGTAAAAGAAAAAAAATCCAACACAAAGTACCATGTGCTGATTACATAATTTAATTGGTTCGGAAATAAAGATAATAGTAACTGTATGCAAAAATGGCGAGCAAATGCTCAAGTTCCAACGCTGATTTTATGAATATTGTTCATGAAATACAGTTTTGAGTCTTAGAGTCTTAGGACAAAAGACTTATGAACAATCAATACTGAATATAGAACAGAAGAGCATACAATGGGGAAATGGATGAAGTGAAGACTAGAACATAGGAGAAAAGGAAACCTATAAAATAGCCATGAAACACCCATGCCATACAATATATATAATGTGAGTCAAAGAACAAGTTCATACATCCGTGAGACAGCAATAAACAAGCTTAACTTTATGGGCAATAGGTGAAATGAGTGAGCGAAGAAGAGTATTCATCACTAAAACTAGATCCAAAATAAACTATAAAAGAGGAGCTTTGATCTCATACATGGCAAACTCTACAACAAAGATGCCAAACATTTGAGTATTATCAGCTTAAACTTGGCCAAAGTGAAGCTCTTGGTCTTAACTCATAGGTCAAACTGCCGAACCCCTTCATGCGATTCACCAGTTCTTGTTAGGAGAAAAAATCAAATAGTAGAAATAATTTTTCATTATTCTCAACCTATGACCAAATATGATGAATGCCTATATAAGAACAATAAAGAGGTGAACGTTCGTTACAAAACGAACTTCCTTCTAGAAAGAAAAGGAAGTAAACGACAAAACTAATTGTTAACAAATATGACGTCATATTTTACTAGTTGTCTCCACTCAACAATTGGTGCTTTCCCCTAACAAACCCGTCTAAAAGAAGAAGACAAACTCTTACAATCCAAAAGAACCGGTATCATAAAAATCAGGAAAAGGAGTTACAGCCTAAAGTGGTTACTTATCATGTTCAGAAACATCAATATCCAAGAGATTCAACTATTATGCCTCAAAATGAAGGTCGCCATCCAGGAAATAACCAATATGATCACAACAAGGATATTCTATATTCAACTCTATAAAATATTGGGTTAAAAGGCTAGATGAACTAAAAGCCTAAGCTTCAGAAAAAACACTCTTTTAGCTGAATTTAACTTACTCAGGTATTAGAAGCTCTTAAAATCAATACCAACAAGCTTTGTCAAATTGATGCATAGCCAGTCATAGGTCCTTATTAATCTGAATGATTATTTACTAACTGAATTCCAATTGTGCCATAAACATTAAAATGCCACGATCAAACTTTGAACCTGAACTTTCCAAGAAAAATTTCTTAAGAATCTGAGATTCTGAACACATGACAATAGGAGTCCAAAAAACATAGATAAATATTTGAAAAGTGCATATATATATATACATACCCCAGACTTATCCTCATGAGGATGCTCCTCATCAATATGGCAACACAATCCAACTAAATCATAATCTTCTGGGCAAAACGGACATGGATATTCCACCTCTTCATCTCCTTCAATCTCATCAAATTCAATGCAGAAATCTGCTTCATCAACCCATATAAATTAAACACCAAAAAATCATTCTTTAATTAAAAAAATTACTCGATTCACAAAACAAAATAACCAGAAAGAAAAAAAAATAAGAAACGGGAAAAAAAGAGAAATTCTAGAACAAACCGGAGTGAGACTTGAGTGCTGATAAATAACTCCTTGAAGAAGAAGTTCTGGAGAGACCATAACTCCATGTATCTTCCATTGAAATTCTGCAACTCAAAACTTAAATACTCCCGTTTCTAATCAATACTTCTACCCTTTTTTTTTCCTCTCTTCTTTCCCTCTTTCTCTGATCAGCTCTGGAGCTCCCGATTCTTTTTTCTTTGGGCGAAAAAAAGGGAACGCGAAGAAGTAAAACGCGCAGAAGTAACGACGAAATGAAGGCGGCTTTTTTATTTTCTAAGGTTTCGAGCCATACACATTACATAGCCCATCGATTCTTAATCGACAAGATTTCTGCCAAAATGACCAAAATACCCCGCCCGTTAACCCTCAACCACTCTTATTTTACTACTGAAAAGACCATTCTGGATACATAAAAATTTTTAATGACTTCTATATCCGCTGCGCTTCGCGTCTGCACCTTTTATGTGTTAATTATTTTTAGAAAAGAAATATTTTAATAATGTTAATTATAATATTAATTATTTTTAGTGGAGGAATCTAATATTAATCATCACACTAATCCTAATCGTGTTCTGTTTTGTGGCAGTTCGTGGACCGACCAGGGTTTTTGTTGTCTTTTTGCTTTCTTTTGTCGGATTTTTCTGAAGCTTTTTAGAATTATTTTATATTGATTAATTTTTTCAATCTGGTTAGAGATTTGCGTACTTTAACTAACAACTTAAATTTTAAAAAAGAATTTATTAATGATTAAAGATAATTTTGTTATGATTTTTTTTAAGTAAATAAAAAATAAAAAATACACGAAATATATTAATTAATTAAATAAATATAATAAAATATCAAAGATATTTCATATTTAAAAATTATCAATCCGCTCTGTTAATCTTTTGGGACCCAACTAATTAAAATTTTCTTTTACGAATTATTTGGGTCAATAATTTAATTTCATCTAAAATTTGAGGTACTGGATATAATTATGAAAATAATATAATAAATTGTTATCAATGGAATTAAAATTAATAAATTATAAAATGTCAATGGCAATTTATACCTAATTATTTACTATATAATTTATTTAATTATATTTCTTAATGAACTAGTACCAATTCAAATTGATCTTATAATAAATTAACTGTAGAATAAATAATATTTATTTTTAAATAATTTATATCATCAAAGTACACTTATTTTAAATTCTATTCAAATTAAATAATTTATAATTACGAATGGTAATAAAAATGTATTATTATAAGGTACAGTAAGATTCAATCTCAGATTCATGTTTTTTTAATTTTTTTTCATAGAAAATATTATGTTCCTTTTCCCTTTTTAATATAAATTGAAAGCATTAAAAAGATGGGTATCATCAGAACCTTTTTATACTTCATCTGCAGTTTATGGTGAGCTGATTTATTAATTATTTTTACTTTTAGGAGAGAATTGTTTAATCACATTAATTAATAATTAAGTCAGATAAATTAGGTATCATTTCTTAATTATAGTGCTAAATAGTCTTGTACGATTTAAATATTTGACCACTAATTTTGGACGCGGTCGTGCCAGCTTTTTCATAAACCTACCCGACCCGACCCTACTTCTCTCTTCAGTCGCAAAACCCTCGAGAATTCCAATTCCCGGGAATCCCATCTCTATTCTCTCTTGAAATCTCATTTTCCATAAGCAAGCACCTGAAAGTCCTTTTCTCATCGTCTTGTACCCTCTCGTTCTCCATTGTTTCAATGGCCACGAGAAACAGGACTGCACTGTACAGAAAGCACAGGGATGCTTGTAAGAGCGTCCGAGCTCCTTTATCTTCGTCGGCATCGGGTTCCGGCGGTCCGGTTATTGAGATGGTGACCGGTTCGCTTCTTCGGTCAAATCGCTCTTCTTATGCTCCTCTTAGCACTGAAGATCCCGGTCCTTCTTGGTACTCTCCTTTTTCGATTATGTTTTGTGTTTTTGTGGTTTTTTTCGTTCGTTTGGCTACGGAGCAAACACAACAAAATCCAAGAGAAGAAGGATAAAGAATTTCTGTCTGGTGTATTAGTTCATTGATGATTTAGAATTGGAAAGCCGTGATGCTGAGACTCTGGCTTATTGTTATCATCAAGATTGTTGAATTTTATTTTCTTTTTGCAGTAGGGATGCCTTTACAGTGGGTCTTCCGCCAGATTGGGTGGATGATTCTGAAGAAATAGCTGTGAATATACAACAAGTTCGAACCGAAATGGTCGAGTTAGCCAAGGCTCATTCAAAGGCTTTATTGCCTACCTTTGGAGATGGTAAAGAAGATCAACGTGTGATTGAGGTGCTGACTTATGAGATCACGGATATTCTAAGGAAGTCCGAGAAGAGACTACAGAAATTGTCTGTAGGTGCATCGTCTGAGGATTTCAATTTTAGGAAAAATGTACAGGTATGATTCTAATATTTCGTTTATTCTGAGTAGCGAGGACTTAATGGATATTGCTTTAGCTGTAATGTTTCATTCCTCAGGATTTCTTGAGATTTGTTTAGTTTTATCGATCTTGTTGAGTATTTTCTGGTTCTAATGTTTCTTTGGTTTTCTTTGTTTTTTATGTGATTTTTCTTTAGTAGAGGTTGGTTGAAATCTGAATTCAATGGAATAGGAACAAAAATACAATATACATTTAAGAGAAAATAACATTCTAACTCTGAAATATAGGAATTGAATAGGAGTAGAATAGTGGTGAATCAAATGTAATGTTGTGATTTTCTATCTTTTTCCTCTATAAAAAATTGTTTCAGCAGCGTGGTTCTTTTAATTAACCTGCCATTAGGTTTGTAAAATTGGTTTCACATTGGCATGATTCCTGCCTCAATTTTAGACTTTGTTGCAAATTTAGAGCACGTGATGTTTTACACTTGATCTCTGAACTTCAGGTAAGTTCACTTGTTGACAAGTTCATCCACTGATGCTCTTCTATTTGCACCTTCTGTTGAAGTTTTAAAGGTTACTCTTTTGGGTGCTTTTAGCTGATCTTACGGCATTAATTGATCATTTCAATGCTTTCGGTTATTGATGCTATCCTTTGCTACTGCATTCTGTTACATTTTGTCTCATACTGTCATAGTTCAGTTTCATGCTTGCATACTTAGTGTGGTTTTTTAATTGTTTTTCTTAGCTGTTATGTCATTAGGTTATGCAATTTTCCTAACCATAATGTTTCTTCCTATGTATTTGACGGGCTTTTCCAATGGATTTGACCTAGTTATGTATATACTTTTCTTGACAGCGTTCTCTTGCAACAGATCTTCAAAACCTTTCTATGGAGCTCCGAAAGAAACAATCAACATATTTGAAATGCTTACAGCAGCAAAAGGAGGTACATTTATTATACATGCATAAGCATATCTTCACTTGTCTCTCCGATCTCAATGATACAAATCATTTTCTTCTTCCTTTTTTTTGAAAAAAAATGATCTACTTTATAATGTGTGCATTAAGTTGTGATGTGATATTTGATCCACTGATTATTTTTGTGCTACTTCTTCATATAGGGACATGATGAGAATGACTTGGAGATTAATTTGAATGAGAGCAAATCAAGATTAGGTGACAATGATGATGATGATGAATTTACTGATGTGGTATGCTTCCCATCGTCGCACTTAAATAATTTTTTTTATTATTGAAGTAGAAAACTTTTGGAAGAAAGTTAGGAAAAAAAAAAACAACATATTAAATCATGTTTTTGTTGTAATTTCTATCCTGAATGCAAATGATGGTGATGTTCTACAGTTTGAACATACAGCTTGAATGAGCCGGAATCATATACATAGACAACATGTGTTGCGCTGTGACACTGGGAGCAATTTTACTTTTTACCTAACAAATCCTTGTTGATCCAATCTAGGGTTTTAACAAGCACCAAATGAGCAAGCTAAGGAGGAGTGAGCATTTCTCTGCAGAAAGGGAGAGAGAGATCAAGCAGGTACTGGAGGCTAATATGTGTTTGGAAGCATAATCCTATAATTCCTCTAATCAATGAAATTCCCTTTTAGTTATGGAATCAGTAAA